GTAATTATTGTTAGGTCCACATGTGTCATTGTATGGTGAGTTGAGAAATGGGTTGGGGAGCCATCGTTGAGGGTAATTAGGTTAGATTGTGAAATGTATTTAAAAATCGTACATCCCTTTCTATTATTGTTAGGCGATCCCCAGCTTTGGTGCCAGCTGTTGAAGTCACCTGCTTTGATGGTATTTTCATTGGGATTACCATACATATTTTCCAAATTTCGTAGTTCAAAATTCTTGTTTGGGGCAATGTTAGTGGATATGAGTCGAAGCTTTTGTTTGGAGTGAATAATAGCTCGTACAGATTCGAAATCGTTGTTAAGATTAACTTGTTCGTTTTGAATTGAGTTGGGGATTAGAATTCCTACTCCACCGCGGGAGTTGTTTGATGTGTTTTTATGTATTAATGTGAAGTTGATAGAAATGGGAATGTTATTAAGGGAATGTAAATGGGTTTCTTGCAGGCAGATGGCTTTTGGGTTATAACATTTAAATAATAATTGTAGTTGGTCGTAATTGTTTATGTAGCCGTTACAGTTCCATTGCAGGATTAATACCATTGTGATTATTTAAATAGTTTTTCTTTTTTTTTTTACATATCTACTTAAAGTTCTTCCTCAGAGCTGTTGTGATTGGCTAGTCTACTTAATTCGTTGGCTAATTTGGTAGTATTTATAGGCTTTGATTTGTCTGATTTATCTTTGGCTTTGAGAGAAGGTTTTGATGTTAGGTTTGTCTTATTATTATTTTGGCTTCTAAGCTTACGGTCGGATTCAGTCATCTTCTTCTTTTGGAGGGTCGTAGTGGAATCTGGTGAAATCTCAGTCTCCATTTCTTCAATGACGGTGCGTTTGGACGAAGTGGTGGGTTGGTGATCCATGATGTCGGTGTATGACCTTAACTGACGATTGGTGCTTGTGCTGGTAGGTGAAACCAAGTCAAGGCCACCCATATGAAAATAATATATTTGATCAAGGGCAACAGTGCGTATGAGTTATAAACTTTGAAACCAATTCGCAGATCAAAATTGGACGAGTATATCATATAGCTGCCATAGGAACGATCGTAAAATTTGTGGGAAAATAATATGAAACAAATTATAGCTTCGGTGTTTATTAACATATAACATCCTACGCTTGGAAATAACATTTTTTAATTAGTTCTGAATTTCGGATTTAATTTTATCAAAATCGGACGACAGTATCATATAGATGCTATAGAAACGATCGCAAAATTGGTGTGAAAATAATATGAAACAAATTAAACCTTCGGTTTTTGACATATTATCTTATACTATTGGGAATATAATTTTTTGTATTTTTAAATTTAATAATTATAACTGCAAGGGTAAACAAACTTCGGGTTGACGAAGTAAACTTCCTTTCTTGTTTAATATTCAATTTAAAAAATATCGGACTACTATATCATTTAGCTGCCATAGGAAGGATCGGAAAATGCATGTCTAAATAATACAAAGGACGTTTTATTTCGTTTTCATTAAAATTAAACAATAAAAAAGTGTAAATAGAACATAAGCTTAACATTTCTGTAATTATTTTTTAGTTTTCTAAAAATTGGAATGCTCTGTATAGTAAATAACGTGCTGCAATGGGAACTTTGGCTTGCCGAAGCTAGCTTCCTTTCTCGTTTAAACTTCTTTCTTTTTAGAATCGTTGTGTAGGAGTGCATTCTCAAATGGACTGTCACATTATTATTATAAGTACATTAATTAATTAACAGCGAGATGAGTTAAGTTTATCTAAGACAAAAAATCGCGATATTATTCGAAAAAGACTACAATAAAGAAATCTGTAGCTAAGTCAGATGTTGTCGACCTACACTCATAAACTTCCAGTTATTGAATCATTTCGACAGAGTACGTTATCACTGCCTTAAACCCACAAATCTCCTACTTATATTGGATCCAAAGTTCCAATAGAAGTGACCTAATAAATTTCTCCCCCCTGCGAAATAGAAGAACCGAACTGCGCGATAAGATACGACAGTGGTCCAAAGAGTGCAAAACCGGGCGCTACGCACGATTACGAATGCGCCGTGGTATGTTAGAAAGGGGCTAGCGATCTTCACACGTTAAGATAAATATGCATTCTAGCCAATACAATGATCGTCTACTAGCTCACTAGCCAACAAGCAGCATATTTGGCTAATCCAGCAACCAGAAGAAGACTGAAGCGACTGCTCCCTGGCGATCTTTGATCACGAAGCGTCTTCAAACCCACGTCTTGAGACAATATTATAGCACTGCCCGTGTTATAAAAGTGTTACATTTTCTCATTACTGTTATGTTTCATGTTATTTTTTCATTGTTATTTCTATAGGTTTTATAGCCGTTAGTTGATCAACGCTTAAAATAATTATAAGTACAAAAAATGATACGACAGTGTGCAGTTTGAAATAATTTCCCGCCAATCTGTCTCATAATCGTTGTTTTGATCAAGCCAAAACAACTGCAAAATGGGCTCTAATAAATTCCACAATCCCGTATCAATAAAACCCATTCACAATGCGTTGGTATTGTAGATCTGCCCTCCCCGCAAAGGTAATCAGAAAAAGTGGGCTATATGGCGGCCTTATCGCCGCCTTATCAACTGGAGTCCTGTGAATAAATAGGGGCACTGCATAATCCCTCTGGCCATTGCCAATCGATCGACTCAGTGGGAGTCATGTTCAAGTTGCTGGTGCTCTCCTGCCTTTTGGCATTGGTACTGCCTTCCCTGGCAGAAGTTGGTTGGTGGAAAACGGGTCAGTTTTACCAGATCTACCCCAGATCTTTCAAGGATAGCGATGGTGACGGTGTCGGAGATCTCGTTGGTAAGTTTTGTTTTGAAGAGGCCTAGATATGGGTTAACTTGGAACGATTGTCAGGTATTACGCAACAACTGGCCTACCTGAAGGAAATCGGCATTACCGCCACCTGGCTGTCACCGATCTTCACCTCGCCCATGGCTGACTTTGGCTACGATGTGGCTGATCTGAAGGGCATCGATCCCCTCTTCGGAACCATGGAGGATTTCGAGGCGCTGATAGCCCGCGCCAAGGAGCTGGACATCAAGATCATCCTGGACTTCGTGCCCAACCACACGAGCGACGAGTGCGACTGGTTCATCCGCTCGGTCGCCGGCGAGGAGGAGTACAAGGACTTCTACGTGTGGCACACCGGCAAGGTGGTCAACGGCATCCGGCAGCCACCCAACAACTGGATCTCCGTGTTCCGCGGATCTATGTGGACCTGGAACGAGCAAAGACAGGCCTACTACCTTCACCAGTTCCACGCCAAGCAGCCCGATCTCAACTACCGCAACCCCAAGGTCACGGAGGCCATGAAGGACGTCCTGCGCTTCTGGTTGCGAAAGGGAGCCTATGGCTTCCGTATCGACGCAGTGCCGCATGTTTTCGAAATTGCCGCCGACGCCGATGGCAACTGGCCCGACGAGCCCCGAAACGAGGAGGTGAGCGATCCTGACGACTACACCTACCTGCAGCACATTTACACAACCGACCAGCCAGAGAACCTGGAGATGGTCTACGAGTTCCGGGACGTGATCGAGGAGATCGACGCCGAGCTGGGCGGGGATGACCGCGTCCTGCTCACCGAGGCCTACTCCCCGCTGGATGTTCTGATGCAGTATTACGGAAACGGAACCCACCTGGGCTCCCAAATCCCCTTCAACTTCGAGCTGCTGGCTAAGATCAGCTACAGCTCAGACGCCTACCACTACTCGGAGCTGATCCACAACTGGCTGGACAACATGCCCGAGGGCCAGGTGGCCAACTGGGTGTTCGGCAACCACGACACCAGCCGTATTGGATCCCGCCTGGGCGCCGACCGCATCGACGCCTGCAATATGATCATCCTGGGCCTGCCAGGCGTGAGTGTTACCTACCAGGGCGAGGAGTCGGGCATGACCGACGTGTGGATCAGCTGGGAGGACACCGTGGACCCGCAGGCTTGCCAATCCAACGAGCAGGAGTTCGAGCGCCTCACCCGCGACCCCGTCCGGACGCCCTTCCAGTGGAGCGACGAGCTGAACGCCGGTTTCTCCAACGCCTCTGTCACCTGGCTGCCGGTGGCCACTGACTACAAGTCTGTCAACGTGAAGAAGGAGCGCGGAATCGCCCTGAGCCACCTTAATGTCTACAAGCAGCTGCGCGCTCTGCGGGATGAGCCCACCTTGAAGCAGGGTGATGTCTCCGTTTCGGCCATTGGTCCCAATGTGCTGGCCTTCAAGCGGTAAGCGAGGATAAACCATATTTTATATTCAGGAAGATTACCGATTTTTTTATAAACAGCTCCCTGGCTGGCCAGAAGTCCTACATCACCGTCATCAACATCAACGATGATGTCGAGTCGATCAACTTGGACTCTGTCTTCACTTCCATCTCCACTCAACTGCAATACGTGGTGGTGAACGACAAGAGTTCGCGCCGCAAGAAGTGAGTTCTGGTCACATGGATCTTATAGAACCATATATAACTTACCATCTAACCCTATCTTTTCAGCGATCTTACTTTTGCCAACTCCGTACTGCTAATGCCCAAGGAGGCTGTCGTGCTAAGCACGGTGTAAACTAACTTATTACCACTTCAATAAATAATAATCAAAGCGTATAACTTCCTCTTGGGGGCATAATTACTCAGCAGAGTGCTTATCTTTACGATAGCCCCCCACTAACTTGTATAAGCACTGATTAGAAACGGACCCACTGGATGTTTTGAATAACGCTAATTTAATTTATTGGGTAATTAGGCAAGAATTGAGTTCGATTGGTCATTATCGATCTGGTTTTCTCCCAGATCCATAGTGATTGCCCTAGCTAATGCCAAGGCCAAATGGGTATATCTTTAAGTGGGTGGTTTTACAGTCAAAATGTAGGTAATTGGCACTCAAAGTTCACTGTATTTATGGCTGGGAACACATGCGGCGAGTTGCTGACAGAGACAGGCCTTATCTTTATGAGGGACCCCAATGGAACTCGATAGTGTTTAACAGGAAATAAACAAGGAATTTATTTTATTAAATAACAAAATAGTCTGACTGAAGTTACGCCGACCAGCGCAAAACGACTGCTTCGTAGGGCATGAGAATGATTCGCTGCGACAGGTCTACTTTTTGTCTGTGAATTAATCAAAATTATTTGGAAATGTAGTAAAACAGCAGTGATAGGAAGCTTACCCCGCATAGTGGCTGGAGTACGCGGTGACCAAGACATACTCGTAGGTCTTAGAGGCCAGTCCATCGATGATCTCCATATCGTTGCCCATGTTGACCAGGATTCGATACTCTTCGCTGTACTTGTTGGTGCTAGAGTTGCATGAAAATCTTGAGCCTAAGTTGGGATTTGGGAAAGGAATTATTTAACCTACCGTATAATTTGCAGAACCTGTTCCGTGACCGCTTCGTAGGAAAATCCTCCCTCCTCTTTGAATGCCAGAAAGGCGGCACTGCTCTTAAGAGCCTGAAGTCCTTTAAAGATGTTTAGGGAGGATCTCGAGACCCCTCGCTCCGTCTGAACATTGTACCGCTGGTATTCCGGGCTAAGGGGCAACCAGGTGCTCTCCCCTTCAGAGAAGTCGGCGTTCTTTCCGGCAGTCCACTGCATTGGCGTTCGCTCCCCATCCCGATCCTCGCAAGAGTCGCCAGAGCACTCCACGTCCACGTTGGACATGCCGATCTCCTCGCCGTAGTAGGTCACCGATGCACCTGGCAGGGCATTCACGATGACATTCAGCAGATCCACTTTATGGGCTCCCATGCGATCGGCCACGCGGTTGGTGTCGTGATTACCGACCACCCAGTTGGCCGTCTGGTGGTCCGTCCACATGGTGTTCATCCAGTAGTCGATGGATCCCACCACATCCCTGGCGGTGGAGTAGCCACTGAGGTACATCAGCTGGAAGTTCATGGGCAGCTGGGTGCCCTGATGCGTGCTGTTGCCGAAGTAGGCACTCAGCGTTTCCACGGAGGAATAGGCCTCGGCCAGGAGAACCCGAGAGTCACCTCCGTTCTCCGCTCGATAGCTGTCCAAAAACGCCCGCCACTCGTACATCAAGTCCACCGTGGCCGGCTGATCCTTGGTGTAGATGTGATCGTGGTAGTCGTAGGCATTGGGGTCAGTGCCCCAGCCGCTGACCGGTTCATCCGGATAGGAGCCATCCGCATTTCGACGCTCGTAGATGTGGGGCACCGCATCGATCCTGAACCCGTCCACTCCCCGGTCCAGCCAAAACTTCAGGACGTCCAGCATGTGCTCCCTCACCATTGGGTTGGTAAAATTGAGATCCGGCTGCTTCACCAGGAACTGGTGGAGGAAGTACTGCTGGCGCTTCTCGTTCCACGTCCACATGGGTCCGCCGAACACGCTGGTCCAGTTTGAGGGTGGATCCCTCTCCCCTGTTCCCTCGTTCAACTTTCCATCGTCCCACACGTAGAAGTCATCGTAACCCTCCTCGCGGTTAACAGACTTTTGGAACCACTCGTTCTCGTCGCTCGAGTGGTTGGGTACAAAGTCCAGGATGATCTTAACGCCCAGCGACTTGGCCTCCACTATCAGGGCATCGAAATCCTCGAGGGTACCGAAAATCGGATCGATGTCGTAGAAGTTTGAGATGTCGTAACCAAAGTCCGCCATCGGCGATGTGAAAATGGGCGACAGCCAGGTGGCCGTGATGCCGATTTCCTTGAGATAGCCCAGTCGCGAAGTAATACCCTTCAGGTCCCCGATGCCGTCGCCGTCGCTGTCCTGGAAGGAGCGGGGATATATCTGGTAGAGCGAGGCGTTCTCCCACCAATCGATGTCCGCCCCACCCACTTGGGTGGAGGCGACAAGGACGAGAGCCACCAGGCCGAGATGTGCCCACTGCGGCATTTCGATAGCGTTTGAGTGGGCCAAACTCAATTTGCTAATAACAATTGCCGGCCTGTAGCGATTGAGCTGACGATAAGGCCGCAAATGCTCCGGCCAACTGGTAATCTATCACTGTTTTATCGCAAATTTTCTAGATTAAATAACCGCGTGTGGTCCTTTTCCCACCCTCTCCATCTCGGTTTTTTATTGGATATTCCACTAAAGCGCGAAGTGTCGTAAAATTTTAATAAAAATAGATACGACTGTAAAAAGAATAAATCGATGACTGGGCAGTGTCCAGTGGGCACAGATTCACAAACTAGATAACATCCTTCCATTCTTGTCTATACCTATAAATATGTAGGGGAGTGTAGGCTATAATGAGGAACGATTCGTTTTTTGAATGTCACTTTTCCAAGAATCAATATTTTTGCAAAGTTTCAAGAAGTGGCTTTTGTTTCTTTAGCGTATTCCTGTAACAGTTCGATGGTAAAATTCCATCAGGGATAAATCCTACAGGTCTTGATTTCGGCCCGCAACAGTAAATATTTATTTACCTACACGTAAATTTTCTGTTATAGCGTGCCGAATACATAAATTTAATATATACTATGTTTATGCTATGAATTTCATGCTTTCTTCAATACACGATATTATAATAGCCCCTGTTTATACAACACAGACAAAATCATGAAATGATAATAGTAAAGCTGTCAAATTTTTTGAATTTGATATAGAGCTCTATAGAGTAGTAGGCTGTGAAGTAGGCTGTGCCTCAACATTTCGTGAATTGGGGCTGAATTCATAGTCAACTTTCGTGTGTTATCGAATTCATGAAAAGGTGTTTATGCACACACGAATTTGATTTCATGAAATAGGCATAGCATAAACACAGTAATAGTTTATTTATTTTATCGAATGTAATATCATTTTTCGTCACAATTGTTGATATCAGAAATTTTTGTTAAAGGCGTGTTCGCCACTACTTTTTACCTCGTTAAGAGGTGCTTTTGTTTAATATCAGAAGTTTTTTTTGCACTAGAGTTTAAGTACCCCAATACCATGACAAGGAGTCGTCCCCATGAATATTAATCTTTTTAATAACAAGTTTTATCGCTTCAATTATCTATTTTAATAGCACAAGTTTGGAATCTCAAGGGCTGTATAGTTTCAGATTCGAAGAGAAACCTGTCGTTTCTTATATTTCCCGCCAAACTAGCGGGTTTTTCCAAAGTGGTAGAACAAATGGATCATGTTTCCTATTTTGATTAGCTTCATGCAAGTAAAGGACCCTAAAACCATAAGGGGCTGTCCATAAACCACGTGGACAAATTTTAAACACTTTTTGAAATATTTCGTATGCAGAGCTGAAACGAGTTGCACTTTTTATCGCTTAATATCTTCCAAACGGTAATTTTTATGGCAAAAAGTGTTATATATCAAAAGTTGAGGAATTTCAAGGGCTATATGATTTAAAATTAAAAAAGGAATCGTTCGACTCAATTTTGAGAAAATAGTCAAAAAGTGGTTTTTAAAAATAACTTTTTGTCATAACTCGAAATCTATTATATTCCGACAACTTTACTATATAAAGGGTATTTAGCAAATTAAATTATCTTTTCAGAGACATATAGCACGTTTCTGTAGCATTAGTTGTTTAGATACTATAAGCATTTCAAATCCGGTTTTTTTTTAATTTCGCTAAACTAGCGAGTTTTTCCAAAAGTCGTAGAACAAACGTTTTCTAATTCAAGCTACTTTATACACCCTTAGGGTTTCCAAAATCCTAAAACTAAGATGGGATGCATACTAACCCACAAACAAAGGGAGAAACATTTTCATTTTGGGAAGAAGAAAATCTTGTTATTTACTTTTTAACGGGACATCGGATTTCAACAAATGAGGTGACATTCGACATTTTCAGTAAGAATAAAACTAGCTAAACAGCCGGCGGCTTTTATCCCCACCGTATCCAGCAGCTCCAATTTTCTAAATTTTTACTTTTACACTTTCAACGCTTTTTCTCCCAAACAGATCTATATTTCGAAAGTCTTGGTATGCAATCTTCTTAGTTAGTGCGATACCTTTCGATTGGTGTATCACTCGTTACGATCGGACCATAATGGCAGGTTTTCAATTCTGCGGCTATGTATAGAGTTGTCTTCGCAAGCTCTCTTGCGCGCTTCGCCACTACGTGTACTGCCGTCCACAGTGATAATTATTCAAATCGGACCATATATTTAAAAGTTATAACCAAACAATAATTAATAATTAGGAAACTCAATAGAGTACGTGAGGCACGGAGATATATTCATCTAGAAAATAAGCTGCTTACGAAATTTCACTAGCGCCACCTAAGTTTCTTGTTATGTGACGTTTCTGTGAAATCACATAAACAGCCGATAGAAGTGAGCGACAGGTGGCGCTTTTTTGTTAGCTGAGTAACGGGTACCTTATAGTCGAGGCCGTCGACTAGAGCGGTTTCTCCTGCTTCACTTATGAAAGTTGTAGGCTAAGGTGACGAACTGATAAATACACACTAAAACTCGATGCAGATGTGAAAATGAGGGGAGTGCGAGGGAGATGGAGACATGCAGATAAGCAGCAAAGCGCACACTTTATTTGCTTATAACTTTTTAATGGATGGTCCGATTAGAATTTTTGGCATTTTGAATTGTATTGATAATCAAAAGAAAGTAGCATTATGGGCGTTTGTGGGCGTGTAAACATGCTGAAATAAACTTGCACAGCAAAAGAAGTTCAAAAATCTAAATGCCAAATCCGAACTTACTAGCTTTTATAGTTCCGGATCGGATAGTGATCCTGATCAAGAATATATATATGTACATTTTATGGTGGGAAACGCTTCCTTTTACTCTACGAGTAATATTACTCTAAATACATTGTCGACACCCTACGATAAATCGAGTACATTTATTTGAAATTTTTAACGTGACGTCACATGTGAGATATGCCGAGATCATAACCTTACCCTACTCCTCACATTACCCTGAGCTACCCTACAGTAAAGCGTCAATAACACAGAATTCTACAAATTACATATCCAAACTTAATATACTCAAAAGATTTTGAAAGAATTTTAATTTTGATAGAAGTACGATGTTGTATTAAATAAGTTCATAAATTATTAATGCTTAATATTGGTTATCAAAACAAACCTGAAATATATCGATTTAGAGCAGCAGACTGTCACATTTTTAAAATCCATGATACCTTTTAAAACTAATAAATTAATTAAGTCAGTCAACTTCGTTTCTACTCATTGCTTGATTTTTATACCCTTGATTTTTATACCCGTTACTCGTAGAGTAAAAGGGTATACTAGATTCGTCGGAAAGTATGTAACAGGCAGAAGGAAGCGTTTCCGACCCCACAAAGTATATATATTCTTGATCAGGATCACTAGCCGAGTCGATCTAGCCATGTCCGTCTGTCCGTCTGTCCGGATGAACGCTGAGATCTCGGAAACTATGGGAGCTAGGCTATTGAGATTTGGCGTGCAGATTCCTGAGCTTCTTACGCAGCGCAAGTTTGTTTCAGCACAGTGCCACGCCCACTCTAACGCCCACAAACCGCCCAAAACTGTGGCTCCTACAGTTTTGATGCTAGAATAAAAATTTTAACTGAAATGTATTGTTCTCATCAATACCTATCGATTGACCCAAAAAAAGTTTGCCACGCCCACTTTAACGCCCACAAACCGCGAAAACCTGTGACGCCCACAATTTTCATGCTAGATAAAAAATTTTAACTGAAATGTATTGGTCTCGTCGATACCTATCGATCCAAAAAAAATTTGCCACGCCCACTCTAACGCCCATAACGCTTAAATCTGTATACCGCCGGTAGGTGGCGCATTTTAATCTCTCTTTGCTGCTTGCATATCTCCATATAGCTGAGTAACGGGTATCTGATAGTCGAGGTACTCGACTATAGCGTTCTTCCTTGTTAAAAATATTTTACTTGCAGCTACAGCTGCCGTTAGCTAAATTCACTTCCCAACTACAATGAGCACTTTTTGAAAAACTCAGCTATGTAATTAGACACCTCTCCCGCATCCCTATTCAAATGAAAGCCAAACGGATTTCTAATTATCAAAAGAGGATATGAACCAGTGGCGTATACAAGATTTTCTTTTTTGGGATGGGGTTTCAAATTTAATTTAGCCAATACTATTTTTTTAAATTATTTTTAACTTGAAACAAGTATATTTTTGTATTTTTATATGAGTACAGAAGCTAGCACTTATCAGATGAAGAACGGTGGAAATGGAATTTTTCACAGCGGAGCTTTTTCAAGCCTACTTTAATAAAACCTTTTCTGATATTTTTTTCCCAGACACGCTTACGTTGAGAACTTTATTTGTAAGTTCTTTATACTACATCCTTGAATCCTGTGCATCAGAAACCGGAGGGATTATTCTTGTGTTTTCATGGTGTGCTCGTTTAAGTACACTTACTCATTAAACCACCTGGGGCAATCCACTCGAAGTGGTTTTAATTCAATTAAAATGCGCTCTCGCCATTTGGATTTGCACGTGTGCTCACTCACCTTTTTCAGTCCCGCAACAGGAATCATCCCCGGAGGTGATTCCGCCCTAAATCAACAAGCACTTCAGTTTGCGAGGACACACGCTGAGCTGGGATTAGTTATTTCAAATCGATGTAATTGGTAAATATATGGCTTGGCTAACTTTTTAAGCTTTCATTAAAATCAATTGGTTTTGGGATTGAGAGAAGAAGTTGAAAAGTTAAATTATTTATTACTACGGAAAAATTCACCAATATTCAAAGCTTAGTTTGCACAAATACATTTAAATTGGTTGAGAATAAAATGTAATTAATAAAATCAAATAGAATATATTTTTAAAAGGACAACTCCGGTTAAACAACGAAATTGGCAGACGTCAAAACTGAAATTAATATTTGATTTACTTTTTTTTCCAAGAAGTTTTTTTTCACCGCCTCTTTGGGCTTCTTTGCTTATCAAGAATAACTTGACTAACTCTGATAGCAACATTTTATAAAATATTGCAACAAATGAATAAGTTTTGCCGCGTTTGAAATGCACCGCAAACCTTCCACAAGGTTATCACGAAAATTTTTCCACAACACTGTTAAGTATTTAATAATCGTAGTTTTCCAGCTTACTGTTGTTTGTTTGCTTGCAGTTGAAGAAGGTGGATTTGGTTCGTTTTCCTATCAGCTGACTAATGTCCACTTCAATGTCCTACCATAACAAAACCCTGCAAGTTGAGGAAGATACTTGGCTCTAAAATCGGTACTTTTCCAGCAATCAGAGGCGTTCGGGAGTGGGTTAATCGCTTTACGTAAAGCTTTGCTGGGAGCACGAAAACAATGACAATTTCGGTTCGCAAACTTGAGCACCCTGAGAACTCATGTGAGCTGTTTGCACAGCAATTCAATGAGGCACTCCAAGTGGGCCAGATCTCGATAGGAGCCGCCTTATCGAGCGGTATAAAAGGCAGCTGTCAGCCCCCCAGTCCGAACAAAATCGATCAAAATGCGCCTGCAATCAGCTGCGTGCCTTTTTCTGGCCATCGTTGGCTTCGTGGGAGCCACCGAGTGGTGGGAGAGTGGAAACTACTACCAGATATACCCGCGCTCCTTCCGGGACTCCGACGGAGACGGCATCGGGGACCTCAACGGTGTCACCGAGAAGCTGCAGTACCTGAAGGACATCGGCTTCACGGCCACCTGGCTGTCGCCCATCTTCAAGTCGCCGATGGTGGACTTCGGCTACGACATCTCTGACTTCTACACGATCCAGCCGGAGTACGGCACCATGGAGGACTTCGAGCGCATGATCGCCAAGGCCAAGGAGGTGGGCATCAAGATCATTCTCGACTTCGTGCCCAACCACTCCAGCACCGACAACGAGTGGTTCACCAAGTCGGTGGACAATGACCCCACCTACAAGGACTTCTACATCTGGCACGACGGCAAGGTCAACAACGAGACCGGCGAGCGGGAGGCCCCGAGCAACTGGAACTCCGAGTTCCGCTACAGCGCCTGGGAGTGGAACGAAGTGCGTCAGCAGTACTACCTCCACCAGTTCGCCATCCAGCAGGCCGACCTCAACTACCGCAATCCGGCCGTGGTCAACGAGATGAAGAACGTGATCCGCTTCTGGCTGGCCAAGGGCGTTTCCGGCTTCCGCATCGACGCGGTTCCCTACCTGTTCGAGGTGGACCTTGACCGGTACAACCAGTATCCGGACGAGCCGCTGACCAACGACCCCGTGAGCTGCCCGGATCCCGACGACCACTGCTACACGCAGCACATTTACACGCAGGACCAGCCGGAGACCATTGACATGGTGTACCAGTGGCGCGAGTTGGTGGACACGTTCCACGAGGAGCACGGCGGCGACAAGAGGCTGCTAATGACGGAGGCGTACACCAGCTTTGAGAACATCATGATGTACTACGGCAACGGAGTGAGGAACGGCTCACACATCCCCTTCAACTTCGACTTCCTCACGAGCATCAACAACGCTTCAAAGGCCGGCGACTATGTGGACCACATCAAGAAGTGGATGGACGCGATGCCCGCGGGCGTCTATGCCAACTGGGTGCTGGGCAACCATGACAACAAGCGAGTGGCCTCCCGATTCGGAGTGCAGCGCACCGACCTCATCAACATCCTGCTGCAGACGCTTCCGGGCCACGCCGTCACCTACAACGGCGAGGAGCTGGGCATGACCGACGTGTGGATCAGCTGGGAGGACACCGTGGATCCGAATGCCTGCAACTCCGACCCGGACAACTACTACGCCCGATCCAGGGACCCGGCGCGATCGCCCTACCAGTGGGACGCCTCCTCCAAAGCAGGTAAGAGCATTCAAATATCAACAAAGCTTAGGGGTTATATTTACAAAGGCTTTACAATTTAAAAGAGTTCCTCTTATTACTTTTACTTATGTAGGTTAAAGCGCTTTAAAGTAATTAGTAATCAATTAAATTTGTTTTTTTTTACTTCCGGCTAGTGAAGGTATACATTCTGATAAGGAACGTATTCGTAACACATTGATTATCTTAGCTGTTTACTTGAAAATGAATAGTATCTAAGTAGATTTTAAACGTATAACAAAATGGTGAAGGTTTTTATGGTGAAATTAGGAGGATTGACATCGAAACATATAACAGCATATTGATAATAGCATTTCCTATCCCATTTTAAGGCTTCACCAGTGCCGATCACACTTGGCTTCCAGTGGCCGATGACTACAAGACCAACAATGCCCTGCAGCAGCAGCGTGCCCCTCGTTCCCACCTGCAGATCTTCAAGAAGCTGGTGCGAGTCCGCAAGGAACCATCCTTCCGCCAGGGAGAGCTCAACATTCAGGCCACAGACGACGATGTGATCATCTACTCACGGTGAGTGAAACAGTCCTCTGAGTCTCAAAGCGATTGCTAAGTATTTCCCATACTAAACAGCCAAAAGACCGATAGCGATCTGTATGTGATCGTTCTAAACCTGGGCAGCACCTCCAAGACCCTGGACCTCACCAAGTACTATGGACTGGGCACTCAGGCGGAGGTCATCACCACTTCCTTGAACTCGCAGTACGTCGATGGCGATGTCATCAAGCCGTCGGAATTCGTGGCCAATCCCTATGTGGGAACCGTTCTTGTGGCAGTTTAAGATAATTTTATTCCAATAAGGGACAATAAAGAAGCGACGTTTCGTAAAATGTAAACTAAACATCTACTTTATACTATTGAGAAAAGTTGAAGGCCTAAAAGTAGGCCTTTTTACTTTTATCAAACTATCACATTTAAAGCCTCGGTGTCATGCGCAGATGCAGGCCATTCTCAGACTTCAAGGTCATGGCAGCCGATAAAACCGGATCATATTTATGGATCTGAGCATCGCGCTTCTTCTTCTCCGCCGGAGGAAGGCCCAGGGTCGTACTTACACAGCCGTCCTTAGAGACGAGCTCATCCAGAGCAGGCAGCACCTTGAAGTTCCGAATGATCTTGGACACCATAGTCTTGATCTCCAGCAGAGCGAACTTCTGTCCAATGCAGTTTCGTGGACCGGCACTAAAAGGTACGTATTCAAAGGGTCCAGGTTTCTCCAGGTCAAACCGATCTGGTCGGAATTTATGAGGATCCTTGAACACACGATCGTTGTATCCCAACATAAGAAGGCCCAAGTTCAAAGTGGTGCCCTTCGGCACTAGATCGCCATCTAAATATAAGTCCTTGACTACCAATGAAGCTTAAATGTAATACCAAAGGCTTACCAATTATGTAATCTTTCTCCGTGTAGCGACCAATAAAAGGTACGCTCGGATAAAGACGCTGGGCCTCCTTTATAAACAAATCCAAGTACTTCATTTGGGAGATTTCCTGAAAGGTGGCATCCCGACCAATTCCCAAGTCCCCCATCACATCGCACTGTTCGCCAAATAATTTTTTCTGTAAGTCAAAAAAATTACATATAAATTACTTTGGTCGTAAAACAGGCTCTGCAAATAGGTCACCTGTTCATCTTGATGTCTGGAGAGCAGGTAGACTGCAAAGCCAACTCCAGATGTGGTGGTGTCATGGCCCTCGAACATAAAGGTGGATACTTCTTCGTAAAGCTCTTGGGAAGTTAGAGGACGACCGTCTACAGTGGATGAGAGAAGAGTATCCAAAAAGGACATCTTCTTGCGGGAGAACTCATCTTCCTGGCTGATTGACTCAGCACCCGCGTTTCGAGCTTCAATTCGCTTTGCTATTATCTCATTGGTAAAGTCCTGGAGGGTTTTAAGAGTCCTCCTGTAGGCTGGATACTCAGGTGCAAAGCGAAAGAGAAATTCATTACGTTTCCAAGGATTAAATGCTCTCATCTTGATCATGTAGGTAATACTAAAATAATATCAACCAAAATAAACTTTAGATTTCCATTTGATAAGTCCTAACATTTAATTCAGCATAGTTCTCACAATACTCACTCTTTAAAGGCTTGAACAACTGAAGAACTTCGGTTCTCCATGGCATTGATGGACACCCCCATGGCTGTGTCGCAAATAACATCTAAGGTCAGATAGTGAGCTTCCTCCTGGAAGTCGAAGATGTTGTCCCCGTCTGCCGCCTTTTTTAGCTTATCTATGAACTTGCTGGAGTTCTCGTTCATCACATCGTGGAAGTCCTGCAGGATGTTGAAGTGGAAGGCCGGCGTGATCATCTTGCGGTGCTTGTGCCATTTGCTGCCAGTACTGGTCAGAAGTCCCAGACCCAGCCAGGGATGAGTGAGATCATAAACGTCGGACTTGGATATCAAGGTCTGACTGCTAAGTATAAACTGTGTAAAAACTGCGATGTTCCTTTAATGCCATCCACAACATTTACAAGCCAAACTCACCTCCATGTACTTAGGGCTAGTGACCATAATATTCGAGTAGAAGCCTATCCAGTAACGAAAGTTATCCTTCTCGTACTCATGCCACCAGCCAAAGAATCTGTTCAAAATCTCTAAGCAGTAGAGATGTAACGACCATTGAAACTTATAAACATCAGTTGGGAGCAGTCATGCTAATTAAAGCACAAGCTGGCTACTTTTCCCAGTGTATAATTAAAAACTTTTTGCACGTGATAGCAGTAGCTAATCTCAGCGCACTATATGTCGTTTAGGTTTCTTAAAATCACACTAATTTTGCCACAATAAGATCAAAGTCCCTGTGATATCATTATACACAATTGCTATGTGATAGACACCCAAGGTGCGGTAGTTTATAATGGGGACTTTGATCTCCAGATTCAATAGAAGCACTGAGATTGCATTTACCTGTGGGAGTACTTCCCATCTGATGAGCATTGCCCACCAAGGGTAGCATACTTGGCCCCTGGAACTTGTTCAATATTTGTTTTCGCCGCAGTGATCCAAGCTCGAAATAGGCCACCAAGAGCAGTGGAAGGCCAATAAAAGCGCACAGTATCATCCACATTTTTGAGTGTTATCGCAGGCAACCGATCGGTGCAGTGAGTAAATCGGATTTGAGGAAAAAGTAGAAGACTCTCTGCTTAAATACTCCAACCGGTTGCGCTGGACAGTTCTCAGTCTCTCGCACTTTGTATCTCTCAAACAGCTTATGAAGACTCTATCTCCCAAACCTGGAACAATACACTTTTATGCGTTCAACATGACTAGTCAATAAGTAAGTGTTGTAAGTCATCCTCTTGTATTGTAAAATAATTAATAAAATAAAATAAATCAGTGACATATTAACTTCTACTCTTGGGAATATCATTCTCTTGACATTTCAGAATTTCAAATTTAGAAATATCGGACGACTTTATCATATAGTCGTCATAGGAACGATCGGTTAATTATTGTCAAAATAATACAAGGACCGTTATATTTCGAATTCGGTATAAATTGAAAAAAGACACTGTCTTAATATTCCTGTAATTACTTTTTAGTTTTCCTAAAGTCGGACAGCTCTGTACATACAATGCTCTCACGGGAACGACCTGCCAGGGTGTAGAAACTTCGGCTGGCCAAAATAAGCTTTCTTTCTTGTTGAACATTTGTTTTTAATTTGTTTATTTGTTCTACTTCCCCTAATTAACAGTGTCTTAATAATTATTTCTGTGGGGAAATCAGAATCAAATACTAAAAAAGTTAAACATTTTTCAAGCACCAAACTTAACAAAGAGATGAGCAATGCTCTCCCCGAGATCAACTAAATGGGGCTTTAGTGTCTCTCCTTCAGTCGAATATGGAGCCCATTTTCGGATTTTAGGGTCATTACAGCGGAAAGAATGGGATCGTATTTGTGGCGATGGACATCGCGCTTCTTCCTCTCAGCAGGAGGTAGTCCCAAGGTGGTATTGATGTAACCGTCCTTGGAAACAAGCTCATCCACGGCTGGAAGCACCTCGAAGTTGCGAATGATCTTGGAAACCACGGTCTTGATCTCCAGCAGAGCGAACTTCTGTCCAATGCAGTTTCGCGGACCAGCACTGAAGGGCACATACTCGAAGGGCCCTGGTTTCTCGAGCTCAAAGCGCTCGGGACGGAATTTGTGGGGATCCTTGAACACTTTTTCATTGTATCCCAGCATCACGATACCCAAGTTGAGTGTGGTACCCTTCGGTACGAGATCACCATCTGAAGAGGAAATGTGTTATTAAGAGGTTTTTGAATAGACGAAATAACATTTACCAATCACATAGTCTTTATCTGTATATCGTCCAATGAAGGGCACACTGGGATAAATACGCTGCGCTTCCTTGATGTACAAATCCAAGTATTTCATTTGGGATATTTCCTGGAAAGTGGCATCCCGATCCAATCCAGTGCCACCCATTACCTCGCATTGCTCCTCAAATAGTTTGCGCTGTTTTCAAGAAACCAGCCGTTAACTTTAAACTTTTTACGTCAGAGTGTTGTCACCTAACCTGTTCGTCTTGATGTCTGGAGAGCAAATAGACAGCGAATGACACACCCGAGGTGGTGGTATCGTGTCCCTCGAACATGAAGGTGGAGACCTCTTCGTACAGCTCCTTAGAATTCAGGGGACGACCGTCGATGGTGGACGATAGCAGAGTGTCCAAAAAGGCCATTTTCTTGCGAGTGAACTCATCTCCCTGGCTTGTCGAAACTGATCCAGATTTGTGGGCTGCAATGCGCTTATCGATGATCTCATTGGTGAAGTCCTGCAGGGTCTTCAGAGTCCTACTGTAGGCCGGGTAATCAGGAGCCAATCGATACAGCGTCTCATTACGCTTCAGAGGATGGAAGGCTCTCATGTTGATGTTGTAGCACATGCTGTGGAAGGTGAAGAGATGTAGTTGAGAAGGTACAAATAGAGCCCTAAACTCACTCTTTAAAGGCCTGCACAATGGAGGAGCTCCGGTTTTCCATGGCATTGATGGACACTCCCATGGCTGTGTCGCAAATAACGTCCAGGGTCAGATAGTGGGCCTGGTCCTGGAAGTCGAAGATACTGTCCCCGGCGGCAACTTTCTTCAAGTGCTTGATAAACTTGCTGGAGTTCTCGTTCATCACCTCGTGGAAATCCTGCAGGATGTTGAAGTGGAAGGCCGGAGTGATCATCTTGCGGTGCTTGTGCCATTTACTGCCAGTACTGGTCAGAAGTCCCAGTCCCAGCCAGGGATGCGTTAATTCGTAAATGTCGGACTTTGTGATCAGCGTCTGACTGCTAAGTATAAACTAGAAAACAAAAAGTCATCCTAAGAAAATCATCATGAATGTGAAAAAATTTACTGATAACTCACCTCGAGATACTTGGAACTAGTGACCAACACATTTGAGTATGTTCCGATCCAGAAAACATAGTTGTCCTTGCCAAACTGATGCCACCAGGAGAATACCTGGTCAAGAATTTCTAAATGGGCGAAAAAAGCCATTAGTAGGCTGATCACGAATCACTATCAGTATGCGATAAAAGTGTTACAACGTTTTCATTGTTTGCATTTGACGCGCGATTTTCTGTATCCAGCATTGCACAACGCTGTACTACAGATGTAAATGACGCACCCAAATCCAAATCTCTATATTATCTCTTAAATACTTGAGATAGGTTATGATTAACCTGTATGTTCCAGTGGCAGTTGCCCCATTAACTGATACTTAACAACGCAATTTTCTGGTCGTGAAGTCGCTGGCCCAAAATGACCTAACTGAAATAGCATTGTCGCTGAGTCGATTCGAAGCGCAGTTACCTCAGTCACAACGCTATTCGAGATGGGTAATTTCGGGTGTATCCTCTCCGTTTTTCTCTTCTGGTATTAAGGAAAAACCCACCTGTTGGATTCTTGCCCATTTGATGAGCATTTCCCACGAGGGGTAGGCCGCTGGGGCCTTTGAACTTGTTTAACACTTTTTTCCGGCGGAATGTGCTGAGCTCCAGATAGGCGACCACGAGCACAGGCAGGGCCAGAACAAAATACAACACGAACCACATTTTCGATCGCTAGTGCCAAGACAACCGCTCAGCACGCAAAACTCTGGGATTATGAGAGATGTTTTGGGTGTACTGCTGGTTTAAATACGAGAGACTCCCGACTGCCTGTGGGTTTCTGGCTCTCTTTTTTTAGACGCTTTTGCGATCAAAACAAAAGCCTCCCGAATATAGGTAAATATTTTGGTGCTTTCAGCATGACTATTCATTTTGAAATCAGGTTTTTTAAGAGATGAGCCTCTTAGTTTTAATCGGTTCAAAAGAGGCAGAGAACAATTTTTTGAGGAAATGCCATTCGAAATATAACTGTAATGAACTTGCTCGTACAATCTTTACAACATATTACATTGTTGCACGCAAACCATTTCACTGATAAGAATGAGTAATATACAACTTCTCTCTCAAAAAAAGTAAACAAATTTAGGAGATTGACTCTAACTTTATGTCAAGAGAGAGGCTCTCTTTTGGAATGAGGAGTGAGGCTTATCAGCAGAGAGCAAAAGCAAAAGTATGTAAAAGTCCCAAACGTAATGTAGATTTACCCAAATTTAACGTGCAGTTTACATTTGCAAGCCAAAAATAAAAAACATTGTCTACTATTTATTGGATTTTATTTAATGACTTCATTTTAAGGAAAAAGGAAAATGAAATATAATATATGAAGTTTAAAACCCTAAATTGTATTTCCCAATTTGATTTTTTGCAGAGCTTTTTATTGTGTTACTTGTGAGCAACTTAATAACTTTAATAGCTTTCGCCGGACGATCCATTTGCTTTAATATTCTATTTTAAGGTCATATGTGCCGTCTTAAATATCTCCTTTACGAATTAGAAAAATAAGTCAAATTTGTACATCATTGCAATGTTATTCACAATGTAGTTAAAATACCTCCAGAGAATGTGCACGTAAGCATGTGTAACATTTTTATACCCGTTGCTCGTAGAGTAAAAGGGTATACTAGATTCGTCGGAAAGTATGTAACAGGCAGAAGGAAGCTTTCCCGATCCCATAAAGTATATATATTCTTAATCAGGATCACCAGCCGAGTCGATCAATACCTATCGATTAACTCAAAAAAAAAGTTTGCCAAGCCTGTGACGCCTAACATTTTCATGCTAGATAAAAAATTTCAACTGAAATCTATTGGTCTCGTCAATACCTATCGATTGATCCAAAAAATTTGCCACGCTTACTCTAACGTCCATAACGCCATAACGTCCATCAGTCTACCGCCGGTAGGTGGCGCATTTCAATCTCGCTTTGCTGCTTGCATATCTCCATTTCCCTTTGGTCCCTTTAGCTGAGTAACGGGTATCTGATAATCGAGCTACTCGACTAAAGCGTTCTTCCTTCTATAATTTCGTGTAATGTTGGTGTAAAATAGTTAATAACTAAGGATCTTTATCTTATCTTTTATAACTTAGGGGGAACCCCTCTTTTACGTCAAGCATGAAAAACACAATATGGTCGAGTAACTTTACTATCATACAGCAATCACTCAGCTAACCTACCTCACTTCGATTAAAACCATTTTTGTAGCAATAATTAAATTACACTGAATATAAATGAAAGGAAATGTGAGTGCCGCACACTTTTGCGATTTGTGCGCTTAAGAGTGAGCCTTTCACTCGTGTGAAGCAAACATTGCGTAGAATTAAGTCTACATGTCAAATGTTAACTCTCTTAATTATAGTTTCCAAGATCTCTGCGTTTGTACGGGCAGCCAAGGAGCAAGAAATTATACTTTATAGGGTCGGAAACGATTCCTTCACCCTTTTACATACTTTCCAAAGAATAAAATAATGATTGTGTAGGTAGAAGCTTAAATATCTTGCTAAAGCGGACCAAATGAGTAAATTGTAGATCAAGTATTTATTAAGCAAAATGTAAAATCAATTTTGCCTCAAACGTCGATATAAGTTGATATCAAAATTGATTTGATAAGAGTTGTTTCCCTCGCTCTACATTTATCTGAGTAACGGGTATCTAATAGTCGAGGCACACGACCTTAGCGTTCTTCCTTGTTTATCAATAATTTGTAGTAAACACGAAGAAAATGCATTACACAGAAAGTGATAGGGTGTCTCTGACAATAGTTTGAATTGATGTGTGAAAGTAAATTTTTTATACCATCGTTCTTTTAATTGCTGTTATTCTAGTGGCGACTATTATTAGCACCCTTTTTATAATATTTTTTTCTCTCTTAGGCATTGCAACGATATTGGTCATAATTTACATGTTTCAAGGAGGAACACTTAACTACATAGATCATTTAGCTGCTATAATAGAACGTCTTCCAGGATCAAAGCCGTATCCTTTTGTGACCAACCTTTTTGAGATTGGCCTTAAACCGCAAGGTAAATATTGTCTCGTTTTATACTTATGATATTTAAAGCTATAAGAGGCTGTTAAGTGATTTTCAAACCTCCTTTCCAATCCCTTGAACTGTAATCTAAGGCAGAAAGATCTAAAAATTATTATTACGTGTCAAAGTCTTGACCACCGCCCCAATTCATTATCAGCAGCCGATTACAATTTTTTAATAGCGCCATATCTTCTGGCGATACCAAATCAGCCTTTAGACCCACACGTCATCAGTTAAGTGAGTCAACACCCAGCAGGTAGCCCAGTATAATTACACTAATCAATTACCGACAGCAATAAAGCATTATGTTAATTGAGGTATTGATAACGCTTTTTGTATCGGTTGCAAACACCAAAAAAAGCATGCAAGAAGTTGGGTTAGATAAGCTATCGATAGCCCGGCTATGAAATTGGTCACCTAATAATCTGCCAAAGTTCCTGGACAAACCAGTCTGGATAGAACAGCGAGCGAGAACAGTTGACCGGCATAATGTTTCTGATAGCCATTGCCATTATTTTGGCCACCATTCTGGTGTTCAAGGGTGTGAGGATATTCAACTACATAGACCACATGGCTGGCATAATGGAGATGATACCAGGACCGACTCCATACCCCTTCGTGGGTAATCTGTTTCAGTTTGGCCTCAAGCCGGACGGTAAGTACTAGTCGAAGAGCCTGCCTATATTTATGAACTCTTTAACGATTCATGCCAAAGTCGTTTGTCTGATCGAATCCCGCAGTTGGGTATTTGCAGCGATTCAATGCGTTCAATTCCCGTTGGTATCGAGTTGCACATTTGGATTTCATCTCGAATTGTGTCTGATTTCCTCGACTTATTTATTGTAATATTTTCTACAGCTTTCATCAAGTTCTGTGCGCATTTCCCAAGTGCCTTTCCTCGCACAGCTGAATAAATTCGGTCTTGTTTTTCCGCCCTTCCCTGCACGTGCCTAAAGTAATCATTTCAAATGCACAATGCCCAGGGGGAAAAAAGCGATGGTGCACTATATTTTTCGAGGATATCATTCTGCTTCCCTGCTCGTCTGGCGCTCCAATCCAGGGCGGACTGCCATGGGCTGCACATTGTTATCTGATTGCTATTATTTTGTTATTTTATGGCAGCTTAGATTGCTGTTCTATAATGCTGAAAAGAAGATATTTGAATAGCTTCGTATTAGTCGACCACATTTAATACTAGTTTATTGTCTGGTCTGTCCGTAAGGGCTACGATTAATTAATAGATATTTGACCACTTGAGTAATCCAGGTTACAAAAGTATATGTGCAACATCAAATCAGGCTTTGTCGTTGATTGCAACTACCAAAACTAAACTTGAAATTTAATTTTGGTTTAATCCGCCCCAACGGCAAGCTCTAGTGCTCTGCAAACGAGGAACTTGGGGCTGATAATTAAAGTGGTCGGGCCCACAAACTCATCCTGTCTTTCACAGAATACCCCAAAAAGGTTTTGCAATATTGTCGGAAATATGATTTCCAGGGATTCCGTTCCCTGGTCTTCCTGCAGTACCACATGATGCTGAGTGATCCGGCGGAAATTCAGGTAAGTCCGCCCCCATGACCGCCCCATCACCCACCTGTTCATTGTGTTTGCCCTGCAGAACATTTTGTCCAGTTCATCGCTGCTGTACAAGGAGCACTTGTACTCCTTTCTGAGGCCCTGGCTGGGCGATGGGCTGCTGACCAGTTCCGGTGCCCGCTGGCTGAAGCATCAGAAGCTCTACCTCCCCGCCTTCGAGCGCCCTGCCATTGAGGGCTACCTGCGAGTGGTGCACCGGACGGGCGGACAGTTCGTCCAGAAGCTCGACGGACTGTCGGCCACGCAGGAAATCTTCGATGCCCAGGAGCTGGTGGCAAAGTGTACCCTGGATATTGTGTGCGGTAAGTGGAGGAGGGCTTGCCCATAGAACCCAGCATCGCTATTCCCCCAAAACAAGTTGTACATGCACAGCTAGAAATTATAAATATTTTCTTTCTGATAATTATTTACTCTTATTTAAATATCACACATTTAGTTATTAGTTAATTATAAATAGATGGACAATATATTTAAATTTATTTCACTAATTAGTAAAAAATAAAAGCAATAGTTAGCAGTCAAAATAAAATTTGTATAGAGGGTTAAATATAGATAGGCTACCTCCAAAGATGCTATGAATATAACACAACATTCAAAAGTTTATATATTGCACTTTTAAAATTTTCGCAAGCTCTACGCTTTTGACATTTAAAGTAGTACTTTAGTATAAGAGAAGGCTAGTACTTTTTTGGCAGTTATATCCTCTGTGTGTACTATTGCCAAACTTTACACATTTGTCATGTCGTTTCTTGGGCCGAGTTTCGCTCTTCGGGCGTTTCGCTCGTTTATTTTTTGTAATTTATTATGAACGTTTTATAAATAAGATTTATGGCATAGAAAATGGCTACAAGTGCCGCAGATTGTGCGGGCCAAAAAGTTTCGCGGTCGAGGTACTTGCCCTCGACGATACAACGCGTATTGTGGGCCGAGTGAATTGAGGAATTTCCCTGTTAACCGTTGGTAATTTATCGAGACTTTCAGGGACTCGTTCGGGTTCATTTAACCAGCTTGAAGCTGCACATTTTCAATGGCTTCCTCTCCCTCTAATTTTCCCAGAAAACGCCACTGGCCAGGCCAGCAGTTCGCTCAATGGAGAGCCCTCGGATTTGCATGGAGCCATCAAGGAGTAAGTTCAAGCTGAGAAATCTCGGGGCTAAGCTCTTAAGCCACTTCCGTTTCCTAGTTTATGCGATGTGGTGCAGGAGCGCACCTTCAGCATTGTGAAGCGGTTCGACGCCCTCTTCCGACTCACCTCCTACTACATGAAGCAGCGCCGAGCCCTGTCGCTCCTCCGAAGCGAACTGAATCGGGTGAGTTCCGCAGAAATGCTTGGGTGGGAGACCGTCTTAAAACCGAAGGTTTATCTCCTCGTAGATTATCGCGCAACGTCGACACCAGCTGGCCGGGGAAAATACAAGTCAGCCAGGGCATCCAATCAATAAACCCTTCCTCGACGTTCTGCTGACCGCCAAACTGGACGGTCGGGCCCTCAAGGAGCGCGAGATTATCGAGGAAATGTCAACCTTTATATTTACTGTAAGTTAAAGCTGTTATTCTTTATTTTTTATAAAATTAAAATGAACTAAAATTGATTTATATATATATTTTATCTTAAAATTCTGATGCAGGGTCACGATCCCGTAGCCGCCGCCATATCCTTTACCCTGTACACCCTATCCCGCCACCCGGAGATTCAGAGCAAGGCTTTCAAGGAGCAGCAGCGCATCTTTGGCAACAACGTATCGGGAGAGGCGGACCTGGTTTCCCTGGACCAGATGGTCTACCTAGAGCTGATCATTCGGGAGACCCTGCGTCTGTATCCCTCTGTTCCGTTGATTGCCCGAACCAACCGAAAACCCATAGACATCAGTAAGTTGTGCCAAGAAGGTCGCTCTCACAACCTAATGCTGGATACTTTCAGATGGCACCAAGGTGGCCAAGCGCACCACGGTGATCATGTGCCTCATTGCCATGGGCTACAACGAGAAGTATTTCGATGATCCGTGCACTTTCCGGCCCGAGAGATTCGAGAACACCAGCGGAAACGTGGGCATCGAGGCTTTCAAGAGTGTGCCATTTAGTGCAGGACCAAGGCGATGCATTGGTAGGTGTTGAATGGGATTTATCGTTGATTTCCTTACTTACTTTTATGTGTTTTTAAAAAGCTGAAAAGTTCGCCATGTACCAAATGAAGGCTCTACTCTCCCAGTTGGTGCGACGATTTGAAATATTGCCCGCCGTGGATGGACTTTCCTCCGGAATCAACGACCATTCTCGTGAGGACTGCGTCCCTCAGAGCGAATATGATCCAGTGTTGAACATTCGAGTCACGCTTAAATCGGAAAATGGCATTCAGATCAGGCTGAGAAAGCGATGAACCTAAGGATTCAACTAAACATGTAAATAATATACAATCCATAAAAATGTAATCGTTACACTCCTTGATTTTGAATTTAAATTAAACTAGTTTGTGCAACCGTTTTACTTTATTAAATCAAACTCCTTTTCTCGTCTAGACTATTGCCATTTCTGTGACCAGAACACGATTCGCATTGTTCACATCACTTTTTTCTCGCAAATTATCAAAGTTGACTTAACAAATAATTCATGTTAATTTGCTTGCATTCGTAGATTCGCTGCTAATTAATATACAATTCGGGCAGATCACCAGTTTGGTTAATATTTTATTGCACAACAAAATTGAGTTCACACTAACAATAAAAATTAAATGTGCAGAGCCGAGAAACAGAAGCTGAAATTATATCACTTTTACTTTACCAGACCCGCAAGAACACCTGGGAGCAGATCTGCCATTATATTTTTCTGTTCTTTGGCAAATTGGTTATCTTTACAAAAAGAAAGTCGCAAGGTTCCCAAAAAAGGTTTCTGCAATGAAAATTGGCAAAAAGTCGTCCTTACTGGAGGTCACTTGTATATTCAAGCACCCAATTTCAAGATAAAAATGCTCGAGAAAAATATGGCAAAATAAAAGATTTGATAAAATTTAACAAAATACACTTTTTATAGGCGCTTGAATGCGTTATAGTGGGCTTCGCCCTTCGATGAAAAAAACTTGCGGAAGGAAGGAAGCTTAAGAATATGCATGCTCTAATAGTTTTCAATATCTCAACGTTAATACGAAAAGAGAGACAGACAGACGGACATGGATCGATTGGGCTAGTGATCCTGATCAATAAACGCTTCCTTCTACCTCCTACATACTCTCCGACGAATTTAATATTCACTACGATTGTAAACATCATTAAAAAAAGTATTGAACTCTATATCTTTTAAAACAAAAAGTGTTATTTGGAGTAAGCAACAAATGATTTGAGAGCGAACCAAAAATGGATCTTTGTCGTTTTGATCATAATCGTTTCTGCTTTGAGATACATCTCTTTCTAGGTTTTCAGCAATTAAAAAAATTTATTTTTAATCGGACAATCGGTTATAAGGAGTATTAAAAAATTACTAAAATAATAATATGAACACAGCTATAGCCTCGTTGCTTTCAATCATGTTTTCTTCTACTCTGGCGTATACCATTATTTTAAAATTTTCGAATTTGAAATTTTGTATTTTAAAATCGGATGACGACATCATTTAGCTGTCATATGAACTATTGGTACATTATTATACAAATCTTCCGAATATATGGTTTCTGTAATATACAACCTATAAATGAATTGGCATGACATGGTGTAAGCTGCAAGGACTTCACGAAAATTGATTTTTTCTTGTTTTTTTTCTTTTGTAATGTGAAGCCTACGTTAATTATAAACACTTTTAATTTCATTTAATATATTTAACCCAGAAATATATTTGCTGTTAATTGTATCTCCCGTCTAGTCTTCACGCCGTTGATTTGTCGAAAATATAATTCAAATTAGCAAATATTTGCAAATTAATATTAATTTCAAGTGGATTACCAGTTTTGTTTAAATTTTATTTCATAATATGTTTCAAGTTCAAATGGGGATGATATTTATTAAGTTAGTGAGTTAAATGGAACTTCAAAACTGAATAAAAATGAACAAATATCTGTTTTGATCCACACTTGGTAAATGCTAACAAAACCGGTTACTTAGGCTTAGATCAATCAAGTGGCATTCAGACAGAGCGCGATAATCTGGAACAGAGTTTATTGTCTCGATCAGAATAAATCAGCAGTCCCAAGCAACTCGTACTCCTGTTAGAGATCAAAGCACTTCTATATAAACACATTTTTTGCCAAAGAATATCGAATTTATTTAAAGACTCGATAGTCAAACTTATTAAGTCAGCATGCTGTTTAAATTCTAAGGGTTAGAGGGCAAGGTCATCTGGAATTGCACCAATTCGGGGTTGAGTCCTAGCCGTAGGGATCGCTTATTCCTTGCTGGGATGGGCCTGGATGTAGGCGATGGCCTTGAGGATGGCCTCTGGGATCGGAGGGGGAGTGGGCAGCAGGTCGCTCTGGGGCTGGTAGCCGTTCTCGTCGGCCTTGTAGCTCACACGAACGTGCTCGCCCTCGGGAGAGATCCACTCGAAGACTCCGTCGATGTTTCCGTGGACATCTCCGGTGGCCGAAGAAACGACACCGTTGTCGAGGGCCAACTTGCTGACGAAGCCATCGGGGTTCACTTCGTTGACCAGCTCCTTGACCTCGGGATTCTCGTTGGCGGCCACCAGGGCGGCAAGGGCGCAGACAAGCAGCTAGGATATTCCAGGTTTAGTAATCGTACTATCCGAACACGATCCCCAGATACTTACGATCTTGAACATTTTGATTTAGTTTGATTGTCAGACTAGAGAACTGATACTGATGCCAATTCGAGTTCGATTTTCGGTTTATATACGCACAAGACGTCGCCATTCCACGAAGCCCGAAGCTGATGCAACCCGTTTTTAATTAACATTTCGGCCAGCTAAACATCATTTTGCTTTATGGACAGGTTGGAAGTGAAATATTCGGCGGCGATAAAAACCGTCTGCTGCACTCTTTTTGCTTTCACCGGTCTATGCAAATTGCTACCGTAATTATTCTAAACAGATTCCCAGAATCACGATTCTTAAAAGGTTAGGTCCACCTTATCATTGGAATAATTCGATGCATACTCATTTGAACGATTGTCTGAAATGTTTCGAGTCAAATCCCAACTGAGGGAAATAAAATAAAGTTTGCATTGTTCAATAAAGTTTAAGCCATTAATAATATTCTATGAACAGGATAAATTTTAGCAAGTAATGAGACTTCCTTTGAAAAACCCTTTTGTAAAGCATACTTTTCGGAGGGGGTCTGTCCATGTATTACGTAATCATACTTTTTCCTATATTTGACTTGATTTATTGAGTAAAAAAATTGATTTGTGTCACAGGTGATGTTCTTTGTGATTACGTAATATATGAACAGCCTCAAAGTGAGGACCTTCAATTTTCAGTTAGTGGGCTTAGTTTTTGCTTAGTTGTCATATAACAGAGCCACAAAAAATTAACAAATGGAAATTGCCAAATCGAAATGGGCTGATTTTTTAAAAATTGATTTGTCAGCTTCTGTTAAATCTAATTTGACTTAATGCTTTTAACCCTCTACCGCATTAGGAGCCAAGTACAGCTATTTATTATCTATTTATTTTTTATTTTCTCCAATGTTACTGACTAAGTTTATTGTTGGTAGTCATTTTTCTTGGCACTAAATAAAAAAAATTAATACGAGATAAAGAAGAATTTCATGTATACAAAGTTTTCATAAGTTTTAGTCCGAAACGGATTTTCTTAAATTAAGATAAAAGTATAAAAAAAAAAAATGTATTTGAATTCGTTTAAATTTTCAAATTGCGCACCTAACTGGAAAAAAACGAAAATTATCATTATTTTTCTTATTTTCAGAGTGTGAACATTTAATTACGTTAAAAAAGTCGCATTATGTCATACGTTTATGTGCATATGGCATGACGTTCCTAGTGCATTTTTGCTATTTTGCTGTTCGAAAACATGAAATGTCACGTTTTAAGTTATCTTCGAGAGTCGGAACTCGGATTTGAGACGGATGACAATAAAAAATCCTAGATTCCATACCATAGATCTGAATTTTCTTTCGGTTCACATTTTCAATAAAGCAAAATATGATAAAAATGCGAATGCAACTTTGAAAAAAGCCATGTAAGCTAGATATTATAATAAAAAAAAGGAGTAACTGACTCTTGAAGATGTCTTAAATAGAAACATTATATGCATCTATTATTATATTCTTCCAACCCGCGATGTCATAAATAACGTGCGTTAGAGACAAAAACTGAGTAAGCAGATCTACAGAAATGCTTATGCTCAAAAGATGTTTGGAATTTTCAAAACATTGTCACAAAGTGACGTGCATAAAACATATCGCTTTGTACTATATTTTACATCTCCCCCCGAAAAATTAATTCGTTACTTGCAAAAAAGTAATGCTCATGAAATAGCATTGCAATACTTATCAAAAATATTATGCTAGTGGCATACTTACATAATGGCAATGGAAAACATTTTATTGCCTTGAAATTCAATGAAAGAAATGCACTACTTCTGGCGAAACTAATGCTAAAAAAAATTGTTTCATTACTCCTGAAAAAAATAATGCTAAAGAGTATTTTCTATTAAATATTGTAATGGTAATGAAGGTTTGTATAGTTAAATAGAAAATATCAGCTCATTTTATTTGAACGGGGGGTTAAAAGCTGAAACTTGCGTTGTTCAATTGTATCAAACACCCAAGCACCCATCTCTAAACTGTCGTCGATTCGGTGACAAGCAGTAGGGGGTTAATATAAAAACGGATTTATTTCCGAATTTTAAACACAAATATATTCAATACCTATATGTCCTTCAGAGTGTTTCTAAAGAGGAATTTACGTAATATTTTAGATACAATACATTATTGATAGGGATTTGCTCGCTCAGTTTTTTATGGCCTCGCAAATAGACTAAAATCAAGTAAAAATTGAACCGCTTTCAATACTTTACGTTTTTATTTAAAAATTGTTATTTATTTTGTTTGTAACTATATTGAATGTACCATTTTAAAACACAACAATATTTAAGTAAACGATCCCAAAATACATTTCTGTATTAAAGAGTTCTTATGTATGTCTTTTATTGTTCTGGCTTATTTAAACACATTATTAAAATTGCAAGGTTTGATTTATTTCCGGATTCTATAACAACATTTTCTTAAATTTAAAGCAGCAGGAGAGGTAGATCCACGCTCAGACTAGCTGTCAATCTTTCCAGTTCGTAGTCGGTGGAGTCGCTTAGTTCTTGCTGGGATTAGCCTGGATGTAGGCGATGGCCCGGATGATGGCCTCTGGGATTGGAGGGGGAGTGGGCAGCAGGTCGCTCTGGGGCTGGTAGCCGTTCTCGTCGGCCTTGTAGCTCACTCGCACATGGACACCCTCGGGGGAGATCCACTCGAAGACTCCGTCGATGTTTCCGTGGACATCTCCGCTGGCCGAGGAGGCAGATCCGTCGTCGAGGACCAACTTGCTGACGAAGCCATCGGGGTTCACCTCGTTGACCAGCTCCTTGACCTCGACATTGGCGTTAGCGGCCACCAGGGCGGCAAGGGCGCAGACAAGCAGCTAGGGTAATCCAGGATTAGACGGCGAACTATTCCTTGCTCCTTGTGGCATACTTACGATCTTGAACATTTTGATTTGGTTTGATTGTCGGACTAGAAAACTTCTGAGACTGATGCTAATCTATGCTCGCATTTGGGCTTATATATGTTTCAAAGCTGATGCAATGTGGGCTTATAATGAAGTCAAGATGACGAGGACAATAAAAACCGTCTGGCATGCAAATTAGTCCACTTTAGAAATTATTATAAAACTGGCTATTGGAAAGGAAAATGGTTTAGCCACTTTCGATAGCAGTTGAACATTCCTTAGTATTTATTCAACCAAAAATAACGCTATGCATCGTGTATATGCAAAATCAAACAGAACTGAATAATTTATATTCAGTATTTGCGTGCACACACAAAAAATGGTATCCGTAAAAATATAAATTTTTTGTTTAACACACTATAACAATGTTTGTAGCATAGTTTTTGGAGCCTACGAAATTCAACGTTCAAACTATGTGCGTTAAATTGACAACTCTGGATAAAAGCTTTCTGCGGTTGTTAAAATAAACAGTGCCTTTAAAAATAAAAGAAATTATCAAATTTTGAAATTAGAAAACAGATTTAATTTTAAAATGTATTGCATGTATACTGTATTCCTTCGATTGCATTGTGATTGGTCCTAATAGTTTTAGATTTTCTGACTTGGTAACCTGATAAAGGCCAAATCGGAACGTCATCAATCTTCAAACCAGTACTGCACCACTCCTCAGAAAGTTCTATTGAAGCATGTTTCATTTTGGCATCAGTTTAGCAGCTTGAGACTTGTTTTTTGACATTTGTATCGCAGTGTCAAGTGGGCAATTTATGGTCTTCTGCCTTTTGTTGGCATTATGAGCGTTTTGTGAACCCGATAGCTTAGACTCGCCCAAATAAGTAGTAAGTAATTCATATTGGAAAGCAACTGGATTAGGAATCATATATAAAGGCTACACCAAAGCAGAGTTAGTTATCAGTCAACGTTCGTTCTCGACCAGACAGAAATCAGCCAATATGTTCAAGTTTGTGAGTGGCTAACAGGACAACTATGAACTTTTAATTTAATTAAATGAATCCCCTTTGTCTAGGTGATGATCCTCGCCGTTGTGGGAGTGGCTACCGCCCTGGCCCCAGTTTCCCGTTCGGACGCCGATGTCATCTCCCGATCGGACGATGTCCGTGCCGATGGATTCGACACCAGTCTGCAGACCTCCAACGGAATCCAGCAGGCCGCCAGCGGAGATGTCCACGGCAACATCCACGGCAACTTCGGATGGATCTCCCCCGAGGGTGAGCACGTCGACATCAAGTACGTCGCCGATGAGAACGGATACCAGCCCTCGGGAGCCTGGATCCCCACTCCTCCTCCAATCCCAGAGGCTATTGCCCGCGCCCTCGCCTGGCTGCAGTCCCACCCCCCAGCCCCCGAGCATCCTCGTCTTCACTAAGGCCCGTCGCCCTGGACCCGGACCGCTCCACGGACTGTTCTCCCGACACGTATCGCCCTAGTTGTTTAGCTGTACTTCTTGACTTTCAAAAAAATACATGCACATGCTTATAACAGTATAAATACATATTTCTTATTTGCTTGGGAAAGTTTGCTCACTTGAATAGATCCCATCAATTCTTTACAAAAACAAGAAAACACGCAATAGCCGATGGCCTCGACTATTAGACACCCGTTTCTCAGCAAAAGAGATGAATAGAGCCACCTAGCGCTACCTAGCGCCCCCTAGCTTATAACACCAGCTAGTCCCTAGCGCCTCCAGCGGCTTAGTGGCTTTTTAGTATAAACATCTGATTTACCACATGTGGTGTTACATTTCGATTGAACTTGCAATATCTTCAATAATCTGCGTGCCAAGCCCCAAAAGTCTAGCTTTTATAGTTTCCGAGATCTTAGCGTTCATACGGACAGGCGGACATGGCTAGTGATCCTGATCAAGAACAGATATCACTGTGGACGGCTGTCCACGTAGAGGAGCACGGGCAGCAGAAGAGTGTGCGAAGGCGATCATATCGAGTTATGCATCATTCAAAAAGGATTATAAAAAACTATACCATACCAAGACTTTCAAAATATTTATTTATTTTATTTATTTATTCTCAGGTTAAAAGGCAATTGAGAAATTACCTAAAGCCTATGCTTTTTTTATTGCAGCTATAGCTACTGTGGCCTTAAGCTACGTTTATCTCAATATATTATTGATCTTTATTATTCTTACTGAGAATAAAATCCGTTCAAAAGTTATTCCAAAAACAAAATGTTGGGGGTCTTTCCAAAATGAAAGTGTTTATCCCTTTGATTGTGGGTTTTTATGAATCTCCGTTTGGTTTGAGGGTCTTCGGGCCTTTATGGGTGTATTAAGAAGCTCGTGACAGAAAACTTTTGTTCTACAACAAAAGTAGCTAGATTTAAAGGGCGTATTGTTTATAAACAATTGATGATACAGGTATGTGCTATATGTCGCCGAAACTGGTGTTTAATAGATTCTCAAAATACAATAGCTATTTAGCCCTTGAGATTCCTCAACTTTTGATGTATATTGATTTTAATGCTATTACAATAGCTCATATGAGCATTCTGGTATCAAACAAAAAACCCCCCTTAACGAGGTAAGGGGTCATGGCGATAGCACTATCAACATACAAAAGTTTTAATATAACATTTTGTGACGAAAAATGCTTGTAAATTCGCTTAGTAAATAAATAATGTTTTAAAATGTTCTCATTCGGGACGCTGCATTATGTATGTTTAAAGGCTTAAATATTTTGCTGAAGCGGGCAGAATGAAAACATTTAAAAAGTTATTTACTTAGTTGGATTTAAAGTATTTTCGTCAGAAAATTTAATATCAGAACTTTTGTAAGTTGAAGGAGCGCTTGTCACGACCCCTTTCCTGGTTAAGAGGTGCTTTTACTTGAATCTAATAGGCTTGGTAAAGTTTCCTTATGCCTTTTACATACTTTCTAACGAAACTAATATACCTTTTTACTCTAAGAGTAACGGGTATAAACATTAAAAGAAAACGGTACAGTCGAGTTCCTCGCCCCTTTATTCCGTTAAACAATTTAATATAAAATACGATTCCCGATGGCGTCACTACTAACACTGACGTTAGAGTTGTAAGAGTTCGCATGAAAAGTTTGTATTTAGATTAGTCTATAGGTAGACGAAATAAATGCACATCAGTTATAAATGGACATTATGGTTAAAAGTCCACGAGGGTGGGGAAAACTATTTAGAAACCTACCTGGGCTAAACATCTTAGCGTTCGCACTGGCAGATGGACTGACAGACGGGCAGACGGACATGGCTAGATCGACTCGGGTAGTAATCCTGGTCAATAATATATCCTTTATATGGTCAGAAACGCTTCCTTGTAAAAATAACCCATTTATTCTACGAGTAACGGGTTTAGAAATAATGATTATGATCCCCAAAAAGAAGTGTTTGATTACATTATTTAAAATTAGTTTTAGATTAATTTTTTTGGAGACGGATTTGTCCTCAATTTCACTGATTGCCACAGAGAAGTAAAGAAAAAATGTAAAATCATTAAGGGCTCATAACTTGTAACACAATCCATAAAAATATTATTAATAGTATATGAGTGAAGAATTAGCACACAAAAGCATCTGAAACATGAACATTTTAAAATTGTATTAAAGAGATTTTTATAGATAAACTGTCTTGTTAGGCTCTTTTTATTTTTCTCAATCTCTTAAATTTTGTATATAAAGAAAACGAAGATGCTAGGGGATCTATGTATGTACATATAAATCCATTTAAAATCAAAACTGAAACACAATTGCCATGATGTATTGAGAAAGAGAAGCAATGGTCAAGGTGGTAAAGTAGAAATACAAGTTAATGTATGACAAAACATCGAGTCCAAAAACTCGGTGTTGTCTTTTGAAGTCATTAGATCTTCGATTTCTGAGAGAAGTCCAAGTGCCAACATTATGGCACTGCAAAAGTGGTTCACTGTTTGACAATGTCAATTCAAGCTCAACGAGGGGCATTCTTGAGGGGCGGGTCGAACTCGTTTTCCTTTCGGGATGCCACCCGACCCGTTTGCCCCTTTATTGATGCGAGTGTTTCATTTTAGCATCTATTAAGCGATTATATATAGTACTTATCCCGTTGTGTGGCATTTGCTAAGCTGTCGCCATGTGACGACGCTTTTTAATGGGTGTGGGCGCATCCGCGAAGTCAACCCATAACTCAGAGCCCCAATTGAATGCAAGATGTAGCGATTTGTTATCGGATGAGTTTGGGTTTGCAATCATATAAAAGGCTCTGCCGACCAGAGAGGGTTATCAGTCAACGTTCGTTCTCGACCAGACAGAAATCAGCCAAAATGTTCAAGTTTGTGAGTGGCTAACAGGATAACTAAGAACTCCAAATTTAATTGGATGAATCCTCTTTGTCTAGGTGATGATCCTCGCCGTTGTGGGAGTGGCTACCGCCCTGGCCCCAGTTTCCCGTTCGGAAGATGCCCACGCCGATGTCGTCTCCCGATCGGACGATGTCCGTGCCGATGGATTCGACACCAGTCTGCAGACCTCCAACGGAATCCAGCAGGCCGCCAGCGGAGATGTCCACGGCAACATCCACGGCAACTACGGATGGATCTCCCCCGAGGGCGAGCACGTCGACATCAAGTACGTCGCCGATGAGAACGGATACCAGCCCTCGGGATCCGTGATCCCCACTCCTCCTCCAATCCCAGAGGCCATTGCCCGTGCCCTCGCCTGGCTGGAGTCCCACCCACCAGCACCCGAGAACCACCACTAGAACTCCTCTCTGAAAGCGGATCGCACTACGGACTGTTCCCCGGATACCTTTCGATCTTCTAGTTTAAGCAATTTAATTGATTTTTAAAATACACGCAATTGTTAACGGCAGTAACCTGATCGTCTCCTTGACTTCTACTTTTGCCCTCAACTGTAACGGTTTTGGACTCGTCCAACCCGTTTGACACCTTTGATTTATTTAGCTCTCTTTAGCACTTTAAAAACAACATGGTAATGCAGTCAAGATTAGAATGATCGATTTAAGTACAAAGAAACAATGGTATATTGGCAAGAGAATCTGAGAAAAACGGAAGAAAATATATGCTATGTTGTTCATAGAAGTATCTGGTAAGGTTGTGCTAAGCGATAAGGGTGTACTAAAAAATATATGTACAAATCGCTGCAAGTCAGGGGGTGCAGCGGAATCGCTTTGCACTAAATTCTGGCGACAAAAATGAATCTTTAAATATAAATGATATTGATGTACAATGTACATATGTACGTTATACTAAAATTAAAATGAGGTCGCATGACCTAGAGGATAACTTTAAATTTTCAAAATGCCTGAAGATTTAAAAAATGCACCTAGCCGAAATAGATTCTAGAGCATCAACTTGACACTCCCCATCAGCAGCGTACACTAACCTTACTTAAATCATTACCAGTGTTTTAAATATTCAATCGAAAATAACTGTCAATAAAGTTCTTTGGCCTTTATTAAATATATATTATAACTCAAATTTCTTTCTAAATCAGCTGACTCGAAACATTTATTATAATGTTTCTCAGAAACTTGTTTTTAATATTTTGAATACATTTTATCTGCCCTAGATTTTAATAGAGCCTGTCGAAAAGGCAACTTTAACATTTTAGATTATTTATCATGGCTGAAACCCGATTGCCAAAGAAGATTGAACCAGAATTAAATTTAAAACTGAATGCCAAAAAGTGCGAATATACAAAATGGAAAGACATAAAACTGAAATTTGTCGCCAAGCTGTTAAAAATATAATTTTTACTGTTTTTATTCTTCGATAACAAAGATCTGAGTAAAAAAACCAGTTGGGATCCGGTATGCAAATCTCATCAAAGCAACCTAAAAAGTTCCAGCGAAAACACCTGGATTGGCTTCCAATTGCAACATATGCCCGGCCGAAAGTGGGTGGGAATAGCCTTAGATCTGATAAAAATATCGATGTGACGGATCATTTCTAACATTAATATTAAATACTTAAAAGAAAATTTGCTAAAACAAATTTTTAAAGATGGGTTAACAAAAACCCTGTGCCATCCAAAAAAACACAGCTTAAAAATAAATGATTTCCTGCAGAGCCGCAGTTTTCCACAATAGCTCCATTCCGATAAATGCTTGGGTAATTTTTATATTATTACATTAAGTGCAAACATGTAAATTAACAGCTTGAAACTTTTCTCCAACAAAGCGGTTTCCATCCGTTTAGTGGTTTCAGACAGCTTTCCTCAGAAACAAAAGCATGAAATGTAATTAAGTAATTGCCACCAGACATCCCTCCAAATAGGGGGAAGTATTCCGCACATCTGACAGAATGCTTTATTGTTCTCACTTTCTCCGCCACACTATCCTTTCTCTGGGGATGGGGTTGTGGGATAACCAAATAGCATAGACCGGCTGCACCTCCAATATTTGAGTACCAGTTTGAACACCCTTTAGGAACATAATGAGCAAAGCTTTCTCCAGAAATACTCATTTGTATTTACCCTATTTAATGCAATTTGTTAATCAGGAAAAAGTTGGGAAATTCGAGTAAAACTATTTGCCAAATATTGGTTTATAAATCAAAATCGTGTGAATTCACCATGTGCGGTCATAATTAAATAAAAACAATTCCAAATATCATCAACCTCAAGTGCTAATGAGAACGGCCATCAAAGAACCTACGGATAAATTTAATTTGCTGCAGGTAATTAGCCACAAATAACACCATGGAACGGAAATATTTACATATGTGCTGAGAGACCACAGCACGCAACATTTATATTTATACGTATGTGTCGAGTAAACATTTGTCTAAGCCCGAATTATTTTGACATTAATTAAACGCTCATTTAAGGCTGCCCATGTGGGTGCCATGGCATCCAATTTAAACAAGCCAATCACGCAGATGTGGATAAATAAATAGTCGAATTAGTACGAATTTTGATGCATAGTTTCTATTATTACAGGTTTTGTATCTGTTATTTACTGGTGATAAATTTGATGGTGATTATGGAATCCATTACGAGGATAGCCGGCATTTGTTCTGGCGAATCGAAGTGAGTTTCGAAGTGATTGGTTTGTAGGAAAGTTCCTCCGACAGGCGAGCGGTAACGGTCCTCAAGTGCCACGCGGGGTTGCCTGCGACCTTGAGCGGCGCCTGGCTCCGTTCGCACCAGCTCCTGACCCCTCATCCGCTCGACCGTCCTCATCTCACTTGTTGAACTTCAGACCAGCTGCGGAAGGACGAGAAAAGAACACCCAGCGGGTGGGGAAAGACAATTAATGAGAATGCTTCACACTAATGGCGCAGTAATGAAGTTTTTGCCGGAGTGGCTGGAGTTCCCCAAAGTGATTTCTCCTCCTTTTCCGCTGCAATACCAACCTGCCGCACTGCGTGGATTCCTCATCTTGGAAGGCTTCTTGCGCAGCTCCGATTGGCCCAATCCGCTGCTGGTTCCTGGTCCATGGGTGTCGATTTGCATGCTCTCATCACTGTCAGAGGTCTGGCTTTTCAGTACCTTCTTAAGGTTGATGAGCTGTACGGATTTAAAATAAATAAATTAAAAACGCAAGCCATGCAATATTGCAACATACAGGGAACTTTCTGATCTTAAAGTTATAGATCGAATGACAACTATTGTTACTAGCTATGATTCAGAAACCTACATCTTGTTCCACACGCTCCTTGTTCACCAGCCTCTTGGATTTCTCGGCGTTGGCGTACTTGATCTGCATTTCGATGCAGTTGGAGACGCTGTCGCAGGAGTTGACCCAAGCCTGCAGGGTTTCCACGATCTGGCCAGTGTATCCGGGCGGAATGTCGCGGCCCTGGGCGTAGTCTACCTCCAAAATGCGCGTGTTCTGGAACAGCTTTCCGTGGATGATGTCTGTGTGAAGGATTAAAACGTAAATTAACAAGTTTTCTTCCTTTTAGCGCTGCCTGCATGCCAAGGCTTGTTGTCAACTTTTTCCTGACTAATTGCCCAGAACGAGCAGTTTCTGAAGTTGGCCAAAGTGTCGCCTCAAGTGCCAGCTTTGGAGTGCACTCGAGGCCACTGCAACAAGTTTGTGCTGGTGCCTATAAACGATGGTACAGTTGCGCCAAAAGCACCCTCTTCAGCAGAAGAACTGAAACTCTAACTGAATGTGCACAACCAACTGCTAACGAGCTTCTAGGTCGTGTGGGGATTTCAGGAAACTTGGTGTATGGTCTTTTGTTAAACAACAAGAGCAAAGATTAAGTAATTGATTACACACCTAAAATCTGAAAATGTAGATGCAGCATTCCATGAAAATTAATCAAATTACACATTGTACAAAATCCAATAAGTTGCTCAGATTATTTACAATTCCCAAATTAATGATAATTCCCAACCCCTTTCCAGCTGGCAACTAGAAGTACGCAATCAATCACCCCAAATTTTATCCCACACAGCAATCGCTGCAAACGCTCAATCAATTAAACTGATTAGAAAACGGTTAGACGAGGGCAAACACAACACACTGAAACGGGCTACAATCAAGCAAATGGAAGCTGTAGTTCCATAAATCCGGTAAGTCCGCACCGCAAAATCCCAAATGTTGGGAAAGTAATGTGGTGACCCAGTCGCATACATAGGGTAATCAAAAACCAATGTTTTAACTTCGGTTTTTGATACTTTTGGGCCGTCTCTTTAAGCCGAATGGGAGTGGCTTAAGGCGATTAGCTTTGTCTTTCGGCTCAATTGCCAAAAGTACCCCCCAGCGAGCGTAAGCCAGCAAATGCAATTTGATGCGATGGCCGACATCCAGGGAAGTTCGAGTAATTAATTTGAAATCGTCGTTCTGTTTGTAGCTCCTCTGCGGGATTACAATTTATAACAGTCGGATTTGGCAATCGTTTTCATCCTTGCTGACAGGATTGTGGGTCCCAGTTGCAATGCAAAGTCCCGAAAACAGAATCTTTCCACGCCGAACCGAACTATGGCCCGAGGCCCAAACTTTTCTGGGCCGAGGAAGTGGCTAACTGACAGCCGCCGCCCGCTCGCCGGTTTCGGCCACGGCTAAGCCCAAGTTAAGTCCTTGAGCGCTCTTTGCCTTTGACTTTACGACCACTTGTGTCCTTGAACGAGTGCACAGAAACAGGACGAAGTCCCCGGACCAAGTTTCTGTGTTTATGGCACCGACTTTGTGTCATAAATATTCACTCAAATATGCAGGGAATTCGCCCGGAGATTCAATTTCCCGCACCCACTCACTCGATGCCCTGCAATTCGGCTCCCCAGCTTGTCAAACACTTTTCTAATTAGCCTGAGAGCTGGCGCAAAAATGCTTATTGATTTGACGCCTTCGAGTACGCTCCAAATAATTCGCAAACATAAAGGGAGGGATTCCGGATTGCGCCGCGGCTCGAAGCCTTCGCTGTAAAATGCGTGCGGTTTTCCGGCGTTGACATGTGTCTTGTATTTTCAGCCATCTGAAAGCTGTGGGTGCCGGCTGTCGCGTGGTGAAATTTAACGCCATAGCAATCAATCATGCATACTGCTCCGCCCGCATTTTGCGCAAAAAGCCGTTGACGGGCAGCAGCATGAATCTTCGGAGCGGCAGAAGGCGATGATGTCAAACCACCGACGGCTGTGGCTGCGGCGACGGCTGATGAAAATCCAATGGGGGAGGCCATCAGATGAACAAAAATGCTGGCTAACGGCAGGCCATGGAAGGGAACCTTTGGGAATTTGACCACAAGTGCAGGAGTACTCTCTTCGACATGGAAAAACTCTGGACGTAGTGTTTTTATAAAACACGCAGACTGAATCTGTTCTATGAACATAGTTTCTAACAAATAAAACCTTCGCTAGATTTACTTGAAAAAAACTCATAAGCGAACGAACGTTAAAATATTAAA